TGCTTGCAGGGGTCCCCTCTATAGTGCGGTAGTCTTAGGAGTAGTGGTAGGAAGATAGTGAAAGGCAAAAAAAAAAAAGGAATTTGAGAGAAGAACATAGTGTAGTTAAAAAAAACAAAAAAAAAAGAGAACGGGTGTCTCTCACACTCCGCCAAGTTCGTGTCCCGACTCCCGACCATCAAAAGGGATGTTGGTCACATCCGTCGAGCAAAGTGGGGGGCTACTAAGTTCCAAAACCGTCCAGGCGGCATGTTGGGATGGACGGTCAGGGCCACAAACTGGTTGCCGCCGGAGAGGTCCCTCCACAAGGGCGCTGTTGTCAAACTCGGTGGATTTGACGGCACACACTCGCGACTGCTCTAGTCCCACGCGCTTTGGTGGAAAAGACACGCAGTCGGCGAGAGTGTGCAGCCATGCGCTCCACCCAAGTGTTAGTGTTTGGTCAGTATGTGCAGCGAGAGCCCCTATGGCCAACATCAGCACGGCATTGACTCAAAGACCTGCTCAGAGATTGTTGTATGCCATCTTCGCAAAGCAGAGGCAGCTCTGCTCGCGAGGCATATGTATATCGACAATAGCCGGCACAGATTTCAGTCTGAGGCCATACTCACACTAAGACTTTCGTAGACGTATCTGACTGCTTTTACAGCCTGCGCTGGATGAACCTGACTGCAATTACGTCCACAAATATGTCGAAAACGTCCCTAGTGCAAGTATATGTCCTGAGAGTTACTGAGATTTTGCTGAGGAATGCTGTATCTGAGTTTTCTCTGAGTTTTCCCTGAGTTTTCTCTGAGTTTTTTGTTCTGAGATTCTGCAGGTCTGTCTCCAGCTGTCCACATCGTCATTCCATTGTGTCAATTTTGCTGGTTGTTGAGGGGGAAAAAAAAAAAGTCTTAATTACGACGTGCTGGCGTCAATGGTATCTTGGTGATTGCGCGATTAGGCTTAAGGCTTCCGGGAAGCAGGAAGTGTTTGTCAAATTAAATAAAAAAAATTCTTCTTTTTTCTTTTGGTGTGTGTCTGTGTGTGTTGTTGAAACTCATCTTCTCCCATTTTCCACCCTTTGCTCTCCCCCTCTCTCCTTTATTCTCCCTCTCACGTCCTGAGTCTTGACTGAATGAGTCGTGTCCATCCTTTTCTGGGCCACTGTCATATTCCTTGCAGGTGATCCTCCAGCTCCTTATGTACATTCATTTAGCCTCAAAAAGCCAATTGATAATGTGCTGTTGTCATCGAAGAGCAATCTCGAATGCTACACGATTTGTATGGACGAGGGATTATCCGGATTGTACGACCGATGCCGGGAATTCGTGGAGAAATTAGGCAGGTATGTATGTGTAGATTCCCCCCCCCCCCCCCCCCCCCTTTTTTTTTTTTCTAGGCTTTGTCTGGGCGCCCGGGCAACCCACTTGTGCCCGGATACATGCCCGGATGCACAATCTGTATGGATAAGGGATTGCCATCAAAAGGTAGATTGCATGACCGCTGCCGGAAATTCGGCGGGTATGTAATATATATGTGTCTAATGAAATTCTAGTTAATATAGTCTATTATTCATATCATATAAGATTATTATGAGTAAATCATATTTCATACTACGTATAATAATCTGGGCTACAAACCGGGCCGCTCTGGGCGGCCTGGCCCGGCCGGGCAAGGGCCAGGAAAGGTGCCTGCAAAAGACCAAAAAAAAACCCAAAAAAATTGAAAAGAAAACTATGTTATGCAGAAACGTAAACTGAACAAGTTTTGCCTCAGGGTAAAAAAATCGACACTCCTTACCAAAAAAAAAAAATAAAAATTAGTATTTTACTATTTTGTAATGACCCGCAAATTCACAGACTGAGAACTCCTTTGTTGTTTTGAACTGACCGCGCCTAGGTAATTCAGAATTGCAGTGTTTTACTCATCTGCTTCCAGTGGAGTTCGAACTCAGCACCTGGTCTGTATTTCAACAGTTCAGTCCAGGGGGGGTGTACCAGCTGAGCTAAGGCTATGTGTGTCCACTGGATTTTGTGACTTGCTGAGATTCCTGCTTTCTGCTGAGGTTTTTAAGTCTGTGTGTGTGTGTGTGTGTGTGTGTGTGTGTGTGTGTGTTTGCTGAGTTTCCGTGTGTTTTTCTGAGTGCATGATTGCTGGGGTGTGCGTGTGACCCGCATACTTGTATGCTGCTGGAAAGCCCCTCGGGCCTGATACTTACCTGTGGCCATGCTCTTGAGGGTTGCAGCAGAGACTTGGTGGCAGGCTAGGCCCGTGTAGACGAAAAACACTCAAGTAGGGGTATGCTACCTTCTTCCCTCGAATGCTCTTGAGGGTTGCAGCAGGGACTTAGTGGTAGGCTACCGTCTTCCCCCGAACATAACGCACCCTGAAAATGAATGTATGCAAGGCATGTTTCCGGCCCGATACAGTCAAAATGAGGGTGCGTTGTGTTCGGGGGAAGACGGTAGGCCCATGTAGACGGAAAACACTCAAGTAGGGGGTTTGCTACCCTCTTCCCCCGAATACAACGTACGGTCGTTGTAGCAGTAATTACTTTTTTTTTGTAGACGCCGTGCGTGAGAACTTCGTGGGATCGTGTGTGTGCGGTAAGGTTGACATCAGCTGAAGTTGATGCGATCGTGTGCGCGATAGAACGCTCAAACACGAATGCCAATGGTACTGTTGTTTCACAAAACCACAAATCACAACAAATTTAGGCCTGCGTAGGATTGGAATAAAATAGTAAAGTAGCAGGTAGGTAGGAGTCTAGGGCCTGCAATGAAGGGGACTTGACTGCTTATTGACTATTTTCTTTCCATCCTATGCAGAAAGTTAAGTTAGTACCTTCAGAGGCCGAAGAGGCTGAGGGAAATTTAGAGTCAGGTACGCTTATGTACCGGACCGGTAGTAGGAGTCTAGGGCCTGCGGTGAAGGATATCAGAGCGCAATGATGTTTCCCTGCGAAAGGAGGAAGGCACCGGTAGCCTGGGAGGCGGAGCGGCCTGGAAGTCACAACCAAAGGAGGCAGCAGTCCGGTATATCTTTCGGAGGAGCGTAGAGCTCCTCCTCATTATGCGGTGTGCAAGTTTGGCGCCACGCCGCTGGAGCGAGCGCTTGGTGTGTCCAGTGCTGTGGAGGAAGAAGGCGGCCTGCCCCCTCTACTCAGCTATGGTGGAGCGAACCAGGAATGAAGGCTCCTTGGTAGAGGAGGAGGAGGAGGAGGAGGAGGAGGAAGAAGGTGAGCAAGGAGGAGAGTGACGGGGGTGCTTGCCTGGCTATGGTGGACGACAACTTCATCTTCTTGGTTGGCACTGCACCTGGAATGCCCCATAGGGGGTATGCGCCATCAAGGAAGACTTCAGCGCAGAGGTAGGCATGGCGGCCATAGTAGAGAGCGCACATCAGCTTTGCGCTGTCCTTTGCACATCTGAGGATCCCAAACAGCTCTACGCGGTCGCTGGCTACTCTAAGGTGGAAGCAGGTGTAGGACATGGCTATGCTGGACCTCATGAGTTGCTGTCAGTAAGGCGGAGATTCCGACAGTGGTGCTGGTTCAGTCTTTCATGTTTATTAACTTATTATTGTTATTATTGTTGTTATTGTTTGAAAGACGAGGTTGGGGGAGATAAGGAGGTTGACGGTGATGTCAAGTTGGAGAGGGATTTCACATTTGTCTTTGCTGGTCTTCTTCTTCTTCTTCTTCTTCTTCTTCTTCTTCTTCTTCTTCTTCTTCCATGCTTATTTTTCTTCTTCCTTTGTCTATTTCTCTTTCCAATCTGTTTCATTTCAGTTGCAATTGAATGGCATTGCCTTGTCATTGAGTTATTGCACTTCTAGATAGCCAGGATCATAATAATAGAATTTAATGAACCGAATGAACTGAATTCAATGCAAAACTTCAGCAAAAGCTGCATTACCAACAGGTCCCGCCCAGGTCACCTTGGTTGCCTGGGAAACCTGGCCGGGCAAGGGCCAGGGAAGGTTCCTGTAAAGAAAAAAACGAAAACAGAAATCCAAAAACTCCGGGGGAAAAAAGGTAGGTTGTACAAAACAATAAACTCTATATATATTGATATTCTTGATCTGAAAAAAATATATATATTAGATTAAACAGCTTTTGCCTTAGGGTCACATCAAAATTCTTTAATTTTCTCCGGTTTTTGAGGTATACAGAAGAAACTCGTTCCCGATTTTGTCTTTGATTTCCTCTTCTGGCCTCCTGGCCTGGTCTTTAGTATGCTGAAAGAGGAAATGTTCCGTTCCCAGATTGTGCAGGCAACAGGAAGGCGGCCCTCGCCAGGTTGGTCGACTAGTGCTGCATTCACTGGGAGCTCTGTACTCTGAAGCTCATGTAAGTCGGAAAATGCTTCTCGGCCCTGAGCTCCACATTCCTTCATCCTTTCTCATCGTCTGTTTTCTATCACTTCCAGTTTCTCGGCCCCTCCCTTGCCTGCCGTATCCCGTTTCTTCTCCCTCCCATCCATCACCATTTGCCTGCTATCTCCCTCCCTCCCATTCTTCTCCCTGCTTGCTGGTGGCTCCCGTTTCCCCTTTCATCCCATCTTCTCTTCCCAGCCTGTTTGTCATCAATGGGTCCATGCTGCCACAGCTTGGCTGTTTTGATTTTTCATGGCTATGATGTAGCGGTCTTCTTCTCCGTCTTCTTCTTTGGCTCCTCCTCCTCCTCCTCCTCCCCCTGCTGCTCATCTGCTGGCCGTGCCTTCCGCGCTTGCCGCTTGTGTGCTCTGTAGGTTAGTTGCCTTGTTGCTGGTGCCTTGTGCTCCGCTCCACGGTCGCCGACGTGCTGGTCCGCTCGCCCCGTCGTCCCCTGCAGTGTGGTTGCCTTGCTTGTGTTGTCTTGTGCTTCACTACATGGTTGCTGCGCTGCATGTCCTGCGTGCCATGTCGTTCCTTGCAGTCGTTTTTGGCGTTGTGCAGCCATGTTGCCTCTACTGTGTTGCATGGCGCTCCACAGGGTTGCTGCCCGCTGCTATGTTCCGCTTGGGGACAGTCTGCCTTCAACAAGGGTCAAAGGGTTCATGACCATACTTGCGGCGCACCGACCCTGTGCGCTGCGCAGACCCGAGGTGCACGCGCACCGGCGCGCGCCGCGCACCCGGGTGCGCAGTGCGCTGCGCTCAGGGCCGGTGCGCTGCGCGCTGGTGTGCTGGGGGGTGCGCGCTGGCGGGGCGCAGGTGCGCCGGGTGCGCACACCATTTTTTTTTAATTTTTTTTTTTATTGTTTGTTTAGGAATTTATTTTACTGTTTTTCTATTTTAGGGAGAGAGAGAGAGAGAGAGAGAGAGAGAGAGAGAGAGAGAGAGAGAGAGAGAG